CAACTATTTTGTGCTGCATTATTAAGCTAGAGTAAATTCCACAGTGTTTCGGGACAGCGCTGTTTGTTGCGAGAGCATATGTGGTTTATTGCTGCATCCCATTTGCATGATCTAGAGACACTAGCGCTGACAGAGTTGGAGCACTCCAAATATTAACAGCCGACTGTAGAAGCATTGAGAGATGCACACATGCGAACTGTGCATTACTTAAAGGTGGATTCGAGCAAAGGTAAAAACAATATCTATACTTACGGCGGCCATACTTGCCTTTCCCAAGCACGACCACTTTTCCCTCGGTAGCACCATCCAGTAAGAAGCACCAGCAACACGCCAATGAGACGCCGCCGACTCCTGGATTGAATGACGACCCGCCTGAGGTCTTGGAAGGAGATCCGGAACACTGCTTTAGGTCAGATGTTGTATCTGGTGGGGCAGGGACTAAAAGTAAAAATTAACAAATTTTATATGAAGCGCTACATTCCTATAGGATGGCAGTATTTCTTTTAGGCCAGTGATGCGCTTTAATCATACACAAATGGTTGGTTTATATGATGAACCAGCAGCCCCTATTTTGCTTAAGTGTAACGCAGTGTCTAATGTTACGTCCGACGGAACCCGAAATAAAAATTAAAGTTACGCCCAACGCAAACTGTCAAGCATTCGAGTTACGTCCGACGTAACCCAAAATAAAAATTAAAGTTAACATATTTACTCGAAAATAGGTCGAAGCCTATTTCTTGGACCCACCGAAAATAAAAAAATAAATAGTTCAAAGATATGTCGACCTTATTTTTATTTTAAAAAACGGGGGAAATTTTGGGCAAAAGAAACAAACCTTTATTTACATCACTCTCAGCTAAATCACGGGGCGATGCCAAAAACTTAATCACCGTCAGAACTTCTGGACATGTCATCGTCGTCCGAAGCTTCGTCAGCTTGGTAGACATCCTCGCAAATTCGCAACAATACTTCACTGACACCGTGGTAAAATGGCGACAAGAAACGAAACAAAGTGCGAAGCGACGAAAGACGAACTACAAAGACGCAAGCAAAGCCGCCAACACGCGAGCCGAGCCGCCTCAAACAACAAACAAAACTAACTTTTTTTTTTTTTTTTGTGCGCGTTTGCGAGGATGGAGGGCAAAGTGCATGGCGCATCGCGTTTCTTTCCTTCCCCGATGCCCAGCAAGGGGAACGGTAGTGGCTAGAGGCGCGATGGCGAAACCAGGCGAAACAACGCGATGGCGAAACAACCACCTGCCACCGCGGTTGTTTTCGTGCACCAAAAGCGTTTTGAAACAAGAAGCGGCGCGGCTCTACGGCAACTCCGGCTCGGTGACTCGATAGCTCCATGCCTCCGGTAGGGTCGCAAAATTTGGTCGCGAATGTAGGTCAAAAGTCTTTAATCGCAATTTCCGAAAAAAAAAAAAAAAAAAAGGTCGATTTATACTTGAATGAACACGGTAGTCAGCCGCGCGACGAGACACACATTATGAAAGCGATTGGTGCGAGCGACCAAGGCGATGAGCGACGTTTTGAGAAGCCCAAGAACCGAGTGGCGCAAGCAGCGAGTGAGAAATCTTCGTCGCTCGGCACCGGCACTCGTAGCTTCTCGCCGTCGCTCGTCTCGTTGATCGCTATATTGCTTACATGCCGTTCAGAAAGGCGCTCTAAGTGCTTACCATTGCATTGGGACCAGCCTCGCATCCAACCGTAACCAGTCTTGACTTTTTTTTAAAGCCGCCGAGGTAGAAGTTAACATCGTACATGCATCCTTTTCAAGCATGGCTCCTCGTTCATTGCTCGATTTATATTTTCCGTAAATGACAAACCGCAATGAAGCACAATTATTCTAGTTCAAAATTGTTACGAACACTGGCACGCATGCTTACACTGTAGCGCACCTAACGTAATTTAAAAGTAGAACGAAAACGGGACGAGATTCGCTAACCGCTTCACGGAGACAGACGTCTTCGGATCCTAGGCCTCACAGCCGAACTGGGAAGTCGCCTGCGGTCCGGCGATCGGACGAGTCGAGCCGGCCTGACACAGGTTGACCACGCCTGGTTGAACTATGAGAGGCGCCGTCGAGTTGAGAGCCAGAGACGCAGTAGAAACGGACCGTAAAACATCTGTCCCCCAAAACGAAGAACGAGCCAGCGATGCCAAAACCGCCAAAACCACTACGTCGCCATCTCCGCGACAACCGGAAGCGTGGAAGCCGGGAAGTCAGAAAAGGCGCGACAGCGGAAGCCACTGGGCGGAAGCTTTACGTTTCGGTTTCGCTTTTCTCCGACGCCGGGTTTGCGGCTGGTAGCGACGACGCGAGGGGCCACGAAAAGACGCCGAGTTGGCAGAGTACGAGTCACGGCCCACGATACGAGCAACGGGCCGTTTGCCGCTGTCGACCGGCGATGCGGTATCCGCGGCTTGGTGTCACGATCGGTTCGTTGCCGTGCACGTTGACTCAAAGCTCGAAGTTACGCAGTTCCATTCCGGCACCAGCCGCACCACGTTTTCCGGTGCATCGCACGTGGAGGCCTTTCGACGCATTTAGTGACCGTAAAGATGGTGCCCGCTGTCTTCGGTGCTGTAGAAGAAGTTGCGAGACGGAAGAAGCATCGAAACCAAGGCGTTTAGGACTCCAGGCCGGGCCGCCGGTTCACTCTGAACGAGAGGCGACATGTGTGCGCACGCTTTGAGGAAGCCTCCGCGTTTCGCCGCGCCAGAACTCGCCGATCGCGACCGTACCCCGAGTCCGAGAGGCTCTTGCGCAGCCGGGAACGGCACCGAGGTAGGAGCTGCTCGTTCTGCGCTACCATGCAGTGCTCAACAGTGCTCGGGGCTCTCGGTGTCGTTCGTGCTTGCACCGATGTCTTTGTGACCCCTTCGGACACGCAAGTCGTACTTCGCAAAGGTTTGGACGGGGCCGCCCACACCGAGCAGCTCCGCTATATTCCGCTTAGTTATGATCACAATAAAAGCTTGCGTTTGTTCTCGGGAAAAAAATTGCGGGACCGCTCTCCGCGCCGCCGACGAGATTGGCCGCCTCCATGTTCTCAGCTGTTCACTCGCTCCCGCAGCGAGCGCCTTCCGATAATCCTCCCCGTTCCAAAATGCGATGCGATCTCCGTTTACATGGGCTGAAAGAATGCGCACTCGACATCTCGATCCACCTCTGTCTAGCGACTTTAATGCGATGCGCTTTGCGCATTATGCCGTTTACATGACCGCATATGGAATGCGGCAACTGGATTCAATACGACTAAGTCGCATTCATGTAAACTCGGCTTATGTTCTTTTTCGACATGTATGGTGTATGTAACGATACCGGTGGTAAACGATGGACGTTTTGTTGGAAGATGGCGGTCGTCTCTCTGCATGTATGATTTGGATATAACGGTGGTGGTGTGGTATAAGCGTTTTTTGTTGGAAAGATGGCGGTCGCCTACGTCATCGGCCGCAAAATGATACCAGCACACCGAATCATATCGGCAAGCAAACTGGCTGCCAGTATAGACAGACCCGGAGCCATAGCGGTGCCGGTATCTCCAGTTATGCAGACAGCCAAACCAAACTAGCTGCATACATAATAACAAGAAATTATACTGGTGTCATACCAGAACTGTACAAGCAGCAGGTTTGTTTCTTGTACGTTTTTCCAATAGGGAATGAACACACCTCTTTATTCTGAAATTGACATATATTTCAGGGGTGCGTTCATTATGGAGGGTAAATTTCTGCATTTACACACTTCGCGAAAATGTAATTTTAGGTGGCAGTATGACACGGCAAGGTACTGTGGCATGTCTCCACTGACGGAGGCGCATCGACGGCTGGTCGTGGGCGCGCTACAATAACCATGTTCTACAATTTGAAAACCTTTTTTTAGGGTGCTTTCGGTGTGCCTTCTGTCAAAGGAAAAGCGCCCTCCTAGTGAAGAGTAAAAAAATCTTGCATGTAAGAAATTTAGGTGTCCAATAAAAGCATATGACCAAATAAGATCATATAAAAACCTTATAAAAACGTATAAGAACAATATAGGAAATATATAAGATTATATAAGAAGTCTTAAGAAACTAAAAAGAAGTTTCTTATAACTTCAAATATAATTTTATATTGTTCTTATATGTTTTTATAAGGTTCTTGTATTTTCTTATATGATCTTATTGGATCATACGCGTTTGTTGGACATAAAATTTTTTTATACATTTAAGATTTTTTTATTAGGGAAGCTCACTCAGCATGGTGAGTGACGCGACCGTCCTTAGGCCTAACCACTTTCACGATTTCACTGTCCGAAAGCACGCTACAGATGACCGCGTGTTTGTTGACATCAATGCATTCGGTGGGCGAAACATGTCCAAAGCTGGGCAATTCCTCGACCCCAGCTTTGTTACGTGTATGCGCCGCTCGATTTCGCTCTTGATCACATCCACAACTACACACTAGCAGCCATGAAAGCATGTACCGCTATGCTTTGCCTGGTTTGAAGTGGCCTGGCCGCTTGGCGGCGAAAGAAAATTGGCTTGATGGCTAGCCGAGTTGGATGTAGTTTGAGACTCACGGAGCGAGTAGACACGGTAAATAAAAACATTCTAAAAACTTCTCAGGTGTTCCTCAAGCTTTGAGTACTGTGACCTATTTAAAGCTTGAGTAATTAACATTCACCTCTAAGCTGACTGTGGTGGTAACTACGCACTCACCGGATCAATCAACCACCTCCCTCTCGTTACCGGACCCCGCCTTCTGCACATGGTTATCGGCGGGAGTGTAACACATGGCGAAAGGTAGACATATGACTGGTCCAACGAGCATGTAGCTTCTACTACGATTTCAGCTGGTCATTCAACAGAGTATAGTGATGCAGCACAAAAAAATTTGTGCCATTTCAGAATGTCTGAAGGAGAACACACCCTCAAACATCCTGAAACTGTAGAGAGTTTCCTGCAAAGCCACTCGATTTGATTGGCCAAGCAGTAAATAAAAGGTACACTCACCAAAGCACTGTGTCGCCCATGATAAGCCTGCAACTCCCTTCAATAATTGGGAAACAACCAAAAAGCCACAGGAATGTAACACTGGATCCTGAAACAGAAAAAAAAACAGCAAAATGCAGGAATTAACACAATATACAAACCGCTTCAGCGAGTGACACTTAAAACTAGCTACAGTTCTTTGGGCACCGTCTTTTTATTACAGATAATTGTGAGTGAAGACGTGCTGTCATTATTTTTCTAGCCCTGTAAACCTTTCCCATTCGAAGGTCTCCGACGTCGGTTTCGCAAACTTCATAAAATCTGCCAATGCTCCATTATTAAGTTCTAGAGCAAGTGACAAGTTAAAATTTCAATGGTGGAGGCTCACAGACATTAAGCACCTGCTTCAAGCCCCTCGGCTGTCGAGAAAACACTATGTCAACCGCTCCGAAACATAGGTTTTGTGCAGAAGAGAGATTGAAGTATGCTACTGATTCAGTAGAACTACATCATATTCATCAACCATTGTTAGCCGATTCACTATGTGACTCATCGTGAAAACAAGACTTGGACTTGGCCAGGGCAATATGTTTTACAGAGAAATGTTTACCGATTTGACGGACGCTGTCATTTTATTAAGCAGCCTTATATATTTGCTCTTTATGAAGCAGATGAAGAGGAGCAAAACACAAATAGTGCTATGGACAACGGCAAGTTGAAGAAGTGATAGGACAAGCGCTACTTGTGGTTCTCCAACTTGTCCTCGTACTGCCATTTGTGTATCACTATTGTTTGAGCAACTTGTCAAGCGGTTCAATTTAGTACCCGTGAAGCGGCTTGTCAGTGGCCTTGTCACTAAAGCAGGGAACATGCAGACAACAAATCACTTTGATGGTGATGACCACAACATTTTCATGTCATCTCAGAAAAATCGCCCCCCCCCCCCCCCAAAAAAAAAAGCTGATCCTGCACTTATGTTGCAGAATGTGTGCATCGTCTGACAGCAGAGACAGGAGGGTCACACTGCAGTTCTCTTCGTGCGTTACACTCCCAGTTTCAATGCGGTGACCAATAAATGTTTCGGTGATGCAAAAAAATAGAAAGAAAAAAAAAGATATTGCTCTGAATATTTTGTTGTTCCCCTTATTTAACTTATCAAAACAAATTTCCCGTTAATTGGACCTCAAGATAAACGTGACACGCCAACCTATTAAGGATAACAGCAATCCAGTCCTCGTCAAATTAACTGAGGGCAATAAAAAAAAAACAAGGAGGTCATGCAATAATTGTATAGGGCAATGGCAACGGTCCCAGGAAGATATGCTTCAGTTTGTGCAGTATCATTGATTTCCTCATTAGACAAGTGCCATCAGCTTTGGCCACTGCTCATGCATTACATTTTAGAGTGAAGCACACTGTACAATGGCATGTTTACTCCATGACATGCCAACCTTTTGCTGGGTTCCCAATTATCCTGAATAACACAAAAATTTGCAAATAAAAGAAGCAGTTAGATCAATAGGTCACAAAAATCTATGTGAAACGAGCAGTCTAGATCAGTGCATGCAGGGTGACTCCATGTGGGGCTGTATAGGAGCTTTACAACCACCCCAATAGCTTGTTAAATCAAACCCAATTATCCTCTGCTAAATGTGTGAGCTACATGGTCTTGGTAGACAGTTCAAATTCCTCACTTACCCCGCATATAAGTCCTAGAGTTGTACTTACACTGCTTGCGTTTGCTTTGGCCTCCACCCCCCCCCCCCCCACCCATTTTCTCCTACACTAGGTGGCAGAAACACTGTTCTTATTCTGCATGTGGCTGATTATTAAAAGCCTTTTGGCTTTTCAATTTAAGTAAATGCACATATTGAGAAGGAGCTTATTGCCTAGTAATCAGGTCTACGAGAAAATTTTGAAGTGTAGAATATATGAAGTTTGCTAGACCTATGGCGGACAATATTTACCCTCCAAATCAAAGCAGCACCAAATGTGTCAGCCATGTGCCCATGACAACTTCAGATGAGACTAATGACAAATGCAAAAAGCATATGATTACAGAACGACCCGATACTATGACCCAGAAAGTTGAACAAGCTTACGTGAACACGCTTACAAAAAGATATCTAGAATGCCAAAGAATCAATGGAAATAAAAATAGGAAGACTTGACTGATCCTCTCTGAAGTCCCGATCTTGGTACCAATAGCATGCATCGATGCTTACAATCATGCTCTGCGGTGTGGCCAGAAAACACACCTGAGTGAAGCTCCCAATCATTATGCTCTTAGGTGGACAAAAGGCTCACTTCAAACAGCTTTCAGCAATAAAAAAAAAAGCATGCCAGATACTAACATAACATGGTTTCCCCAAAAATAAAACATATAAATCTCCAACATCTTTAGGGGCTAAGGAAACAACCAAGGACGCACAAGAATGAAGCACCTCATCCCAAAGTGAATGGAACGCCAAGGTGCAACACATCGCTCTCCTAAGCAACTAACACTACTTACAATTTTTTTAACACCTTCGTGGTAAACTAAGAGCAGGAATATTAATTATAATTACATGTGGTGCATCGCCTTCAGGATTGCTGGATGATGTGAAACTCTGGAAGATCTTCAAGATTAAAGTGAGCAGAAATTTTTTACTTGGCCTGAAAATCTCTCATACTTTGTATCTTGCTCAGAGTTAAGCAATAACACCACAGCTATCTACTAACACATTACGCCTAGAAAGTATCACCTACGTAAGACAAGAATGATTCAGACACTACCTATTGTTCGCGCCATTTTGTAAAAGAGACTTGCACAGTTTGCTCACTTTCCATGTGGCACACCCATGAGTTCTTTCGCCGGGCAGATGTGCCAGACGCATATTAAATCTCTCACACCGGCCTCCATGTCCACAACAAGGCTCTAACATTTCAGAAGTGTGGTCACGTGGCCATGCCCCTCTGCAGATTGACTGCTGTGGTGACATGTAGCTCAACAGCGGTGGACTTCTCCTACTAGAACCTCAACATGGAAGGAACGAATTCCCAAGGGCTACGGCAGAATGTGCGGAACTTGAACTGACCGGCTGTGGCAGCAAACCCTCTCCAAGTTCCAGCCACCATTTCAACAGGGACGACGGGGAGCACAGGCTTTGTCAGTAGCGACGGCACCCCCACGAGCCAAAGTCCGTGGCAGCACCTGCGACAAAGAGCCCTTGCATAATCCCTGTCACCACTCCGGCTGGGATCACAGGGAGCACAAATGATGGCGGTGGAGCCACCACGAGCCAGAGCTACATGGCAGCACCTGCAGCAGCGAGGCCCCCACAAGTATACCACTCACCATCTTGAATGGGAACTCGGGGAGCGCAAGCGTTGGGAGGTGACGACAGCGCCACCACCAAAAATGATGTGGCAGCACAAGAACCAGGTTCTGATGACAACAGGCGCTGACATCCAAGTCAACTTGGTGGCTGTCCAATCAAACAGACGTGACGCGTACCTGAGAAGGCAAATAATGTTTTGTAGTGATCGAAGTGGCCAAAAAGTTGCCAAGCGAAACTCAGCATTCAACTCTAATGATGAGCCACGCTGTTTCGACTATGATCGACATATGTCTGCAAATCGCTCTAAACCGCAGAAGTGTGAAGGCTGCATCAATTTTAATAAACATGGACAATTAATGGACCATTTTTGTGTGCAGGCAACAAACTGCCAGCGAAAACAGTGATGAAAACTCAAGTGAGTTACTCCGACACTGCTAAATAAATAGGACAGCTTACCATCATCTCCTATTGATATCTGCCATTAAGCCTGTACCTCGGCACTGTAGGTGATGTCAGTGGTGTCCGTCTCAGGGAACTCAAACTAGTAGTTCACTGAGCAACTCCTCCTTGACCAGGCCTGCAGCGATTATAAATATGAAGAACAGATATATTACGTTACATAAATGACACAAGATAGAAAAGGCACAGACAGTACCATACCTTCCAAGTTTGGGGACACCAAATTCGGGATAATTTCTAAGCAGGGGAGGGGGGGGGGGGGTGTTTTAAAAAGAAATATTGAGAACAAATTTGCATGAAGACAACTTCATTATATTTATATATTGCACTGCCTATGCTCATGGGATTGCAGCCGTCCACAGTGATGGCAAAAACTCTTCTTTAGTACAAAAGAGAGGGGGAGGGTAATTTCTCTTTTCGGGAGGTTTTTCTGTCAATCATACAAACTGATCAAAATTTAAGAGACTTCTGGGTAATACGGGGAAGTTGGCAGGTGTGCAATACTAAACAGACACAATTTGCTACCGGCAATGGCAAAAGAGAATGCAGGTTGGATCAGCTATGCATAAAGGTACTTTGAACAACATATACCATATAGAGTGTACTCACGCAAGGCTAGCGAGCGGTGCACTCTGGGTACATCACCGTATTTGTGTTCATGAAAGCAGACAGCGGAAAGCGCACAGCCTCACGGGCCACACTATGAAGCGAGCATTCTACGGTTTAGGTGACACCACGGATGAAAAAAATGTCGCTCTTGTGCGACAGTCTGCTGTTGCACAAGAAAAAAAGATGAACTGGAGAAAAAAAGACAAGGACAGCAGGCGTTGCAGACTCCCAGTTTCTGCAAATCCCGAGAGTCCGAACATGCGTGCAAAATGGTTTGGACACTCCACTTGAAACGAGAATGACTCACTAGCATCATCGGGCAAAGCCCACACAAAAATCATGACAAGTGGAGAGTATGTGAGCATGTTAGTGAAGTTAATTAGTGCCCGTCTACTTTGTGTGTCCAAATAAATAAATAAATAAATAAATATATATATATATATATATATATATATATATATATATATATATGAGTAAAGCTAGACGCACTCCGGAATGCACTTCGGACGGAAATGGCTATACGCACTCCGCTTTTCTCGCATAAAACGAGTGGTCACAACGAATTTTCTAAGCAGAGGCATGGCATAGGCATGGCAAGTGGACGCGGGTTCCATCCGCAGTGGGCCTGCTTTTTTTCTTTTTTTTTTCTCAAACATTTTGTTTTGTCGACGCATTTGGCGATATTTAGGACATTTCTTTTTTTTGCGATAAACAGTAAAAAAAAAAAAAAAATCGAATGTTGTTGAGAAACTCGCAAAACTAAATGGTATGGGACTCCCTTTCGAGGTGCGATCGGGGACAGCGGGGCTTGGATTGCCGGCTGGACGCCGCGAAGCGGCGTGTACTGGTTACGATTTGTAATTAGCAGCCGATACTGTCGCCGCGAAGCGGCGTGAACGCAGGCGGGGGGCTGTGTTAACGAGCTCCCCAGTGATACACGCGCCGTTCTAAAAGGGTGGCCCGAGCGGCATGATCTCTCGGAGTGCGTATAGCCATTTCCGTCCGAAGTGCACTCCGGAGTGCGTATAGCTTTACTCTCTCTCTCTATACATATATAGCGCAGTAGATCAAACGGCTCCAACCACAATGTTTTCTTTTTTTACGCGTTTCGCTCGCGTCGCTTGAGATCACCCACAGCGATAAGACGCGCGGGCCGACAAAGAAACCTGGCCAGTACAGATATGGGTAGGCAGCGATGCGTGCCGACGCGAAGTGACGACCCACGTGCGATAAAACGTTTGACAGGTCGACCGACGTGTTGGGTGACCGAATCATGGCTTCGCGATTAGAACTCGCAACCGGTCGGACGGTTTGACGAAAAGCGCGAGGAGATGCTCGCCTAAGGAAAATACCTGTCAGAATACACTTCTCGGGCGCGATTAGGCAAAGGCAGGGCAAGGAAACAAACCAAGGAGATGCTTGAACGGAAGCTTAGGAGGACACAGAGAAAAAAGGCTTACCTTCGAGAAGCACCGAGGAATGAGCCAATTGAGCAGTGCCCATAACCTCCAGGGCTGTTCATTCTTGCTCGCGTGGTGCCTCGCCACTTATTAGTCACAAAATCCATTCTCGGACGCGGCATATCGGATCGATATGAGTTCTACGTAAAAATAAAAGACACACCAAACCGCAACAAAGCTTCGGAAGCTTCGACGCAAATGAAGTTTAGGGTGGATTGGATTGGCTTGTAAAAAACTTTGTTTCGAGGTGCATAATAAATGCGAAAATAAAAAAAGTTAACGTAACATTATTCGTAAAACAGTGGCGAACCGAAACAATAAAACGTTTTAACAAACTCAAAAAACTAAAAGAAATGTATTAAAATAAAAGTTTTATACGCGATACGAAACTGCGCTTAGCCACACAACTACGACGGGATTTTAGTTTCGGTTTGGATTCGGAGGCTGCGTATTTTCGACACCGATTGGATATCCAGGGGGCGTGGACAATGGCGTCATGGACGTAAAAATAGCAGCTTTTATTTTGACATCTTAGTTATTTTTACGTCAACAACACGTTTTCTTTGGATGCCGCTGACTGCATTGTGAAATGTCGCTAGCTCGGCGTGTGTGTGGCCGGGTGCTCGGCTCGGCGGCTCGGCGGTGTCCGCGCTGGTGCGTGTTGTCAACATTGCCGCCTGTACTCGTGGCGTTCTTAGGAACATAAAAATAAGCGTTCTCCATTTTCAAACTTCGCCCGGTGCCGTCCGTCACTCCTGTTGCAAATGAAGATTACGTGTACCGGAGGCGACAGAGCCCAGCCGCAGTAATTTCGTACGCATTTTTCTGGAGCTGTACTTGTGTGCAGTACGACGGATTATCACCCTTGCATAGAATAGCTGCGAAGGCCGTGCAAGCAGCGAGCGAGTAGCCTTGACTGGCATGACTGCACCCGATGCTGGAGCGCTCGTGGCGCGCGATCCAAAGCAACGAGCTCGCGCTTTTAGCACTGTCGTCGACAGCATTTTTCTTTTCTTTTTTTCAGTGTTAGTCATAAAAAAGAAATGTCGTAAATATCGTCAAATGTCCCAACAAAACAAAATGTGCGAAAAAAAAAAGCGGCCGAGGTTGAGGTTTTTAGGGTCTATGAAGTAATTTTTTTTATTTATTTGCTTGCCAGTTTTTTTGCGCCCCTCTTTGAGTACTGTCGCATTTTTTTGTATTATTTTCACGTTTATTTTTCGTTGGTTTTACTTCGGATATTATTTGCATAAGCATTATTGAGCTGACTTCGCACCTGTGGATATTGTCATGATGGATTCGGGAGCCCATATTCGGGTCTTATAAATTTTGAGCCATTGTAATTTCAACTCACTGTAAATAATTTAGGAAAAAATGAAACGTTTGTCTGTAAATATGGTTGTATTAGCGCGTGTGGATGTAGATTGTAGTCATATATTAACACAATTAAAATATTCAGATATGGCTAATTGTCACATTTTTATTTGCCTTGCTAACAAAAGTGTGTCAACCAATTTTATTTTAGTGATCTGGTGTCTTCGTGTATATAAACTAATTTATTATTATTTATTGAAAATATAAGAACGTAGGATTTCATTATCCCAAATTGTTAACTTCTCTCATTAATTTAAGAAAATTTACAAAAAAAATGTACAATTGGTGACATATATTCGGCGATTCAAACATTTGGGCAAGGAATGAAGAAATGCGTTGCATCCTTAACATGTTGTTTGAAGCTATATAGACGAAAATGGTCGCTCCCAGAAATAAGTAATTGTAAAGTAATTGCATTACTTTTTTATGTAATTTGTAATAGTAGTAGTAGTTGTAATTATGGTTAAACTACTTTTGGAGCGAAATGATTGTAATTGTAATTAAATTACATTTTGGAAGAAATTTACCATGTATGGTTTTCTTCAATTTGCCGCGGAACACAAGAGCCAAATGAACCTCTAGCGTATATTATAACTATGGTTTGTACCTAAAGTTTGATTTACTTGCAGCAGAAACTGGCCGGTATTGCACTGCCACCGGGGGCGCTTGATTGACAATAGGATGAGTATAAAAAGACGATAACCGAATTCTGTATTGACACCTGCCAATAAAAAGACGCTAAAGGGTTCTTTCGCCATTTGATTGCCATTGTAGCGCCTACCACGTCAGTGCCAAACTTCAATAAAGGGGTAATACCGTGTCCATAAATTTCAAGCGAGAGCAATCGAATGGCGATAGGGGCAATAGAATGTCAGTCAGATGTATATTGAATGGCAGAAGCCATTTTTATAGGGGGTACGCCGTACTGATCCACTTCATGGCCTAGGAATTCTAGATGTGATGTCCCGAGTTGGCATTTTTCTTTGTTGATGTTAACACCATAATCGGCGAGGTGCTGGAAAAGTAGTCGCAGATGTTGGATGTGTTCAGTCTCGTTTCGACTGAAGATTAGGAGATCATCGACATATGCAAAGCAGAAAGGCAATCCTCTGAGGACGGTGTCGATGAACCTTTGGAAGGTTTATGGTCTGCATTTCTGAGTCCGAAGGGCATTCGAATGTACCCAAACAGCCCAAACGGTGTCGTGATGGCCGTCTTAGCAACATCGGCAGGTTCTACCGGTATCTGGTGGTAGGCCTTAACGAGATCTATCTTCGAAAAAATGGTTGAGCCGTGAAGGGATAGTGAAAAGTCCTGGATGTGTAGTATCGGATACCTGTCTGGTATTGTGGCGTTGTTTAGGGCACGGTAGTCGCTGCAAGGTCTCCAGTCTCCAGGATTCTTTTTAGGTACCATATGCAGAGGCGAGGCCCATGGACTCGAAGAAGGACGAATGATGCCCAATTCCAGCATGTGTTCGAACTCTGCCTTGGCGATCTTCAGACGTTCTGGAGCAAGTCGTCGTGGTCGAGCATAGGTGGGAGCACCCGTCGTTACAATATGGTGGGTTACGTCATGTGGTACGGGTCGGGAGAAGTTGTTCGGACATGTGAGGCACTTGAATTCCTTGAGAAGGTGGTCGTAAGGTGAAAGAGGAGGATCAGGGATGATCGGTGGAAGAAGTGGCGACTTCATTTCAATGTCTAGCACAGTCAAGCGAGTGGTATCATCTATTAGGTGAAGGTGAAGCACGTCTACCAGGAGATCGTAGTGACGAAGGAAGTCTGCGCCAAGTATCGGGTAAGAGACAGCCGCGACGAGAAATATCCAACGGAAGGTTCGGAGAAGCCCTATGTCGAGGGTGAGGGAAGATTCGCCATAAGTTGGAATTGGTGTCTTGTTGGCTGCCTGTAGCGTACATGGCTGTCTCTTGCTGGGGGATATGCTGGGCGGTGCGGGGAGAATGCTCACTTCGGCACCCGTGTCTACCAGAAATCGAAGTTTAGAGTTTTTGTCTGTGACAAAAAACAGGCGGGAGGTAGAGTGAGCGCTCCGACTAGCCGCCTCTAGTGGCGAGCTTGGCCATTGTCCGACGCTGTACATGGAGCTCGACATTTTTGTGCTTTGTTCCCAAACTTCCAGTGGTACCAGCAGATACCTGGTGGAGGGGATCCGGGTCGTGGTGGAGAACGGCCGAACTGTGAAGAACGAGACCTTGAACGCTGGTGGGATCTAGATGGAGCAGCGGTCATGAGTGCGGCCACTTGCGTTGTCAACTGGTTTATCTGCATCCGCATGTCCTCGATGACATCTGTGACCAGAGGTTTTCCTTTGTTGCTGTTCTCTTGCTGCGACCTGTTAACAGCCAGAGAGTCTGTAGCAACCGTTGATATAGCCGGTGAGGCTACCTCAACGACTCTGTCCGCGAGCTGTGCCAAAGCTTCGATGGTGATGTTCGTTGTTCGTGCCAGCACCATCCTGACAGTCGCCGGTAGCCGCTGAAGAAAAAGCTCTCGAAGAAGCGAAGGGTCAAATGTCGGAGGAAAGTCACCAAGCAGTTGCTGGAGGCGTCGAAGCATTTGGGATGGCGTTTTATCGCCAAGTTCCTCTGTGGTCAGCAGTTGCTGTAGTCTTCGTCGTTCGGAAATGGAGGTTCTTCTTACCAGTTCCGCTTTGAGGGTGTCGTACGGGTTCTGATGTGGTGGCGTGAGAATGAGGTCCCGGACCTCTGTTGCGACTTCTGGTGACAAAACTGCAATGACTTGGTGGAATTTCGTCAGTTGTCCCGTGATCTTGGCTGTGGAAAACTGGGCCTCCACTTGAGCGAACCATAGGAGGGGGTCAGATGGCCTAAGCGGTGGGAGTCGAAGACGAACCGCACCGACTTCTCCGCTGGGTTGTCCAGTGGCCATGTCACGGACGAGGGGGGCGAAAACGCGGAAGAATGCGTGCGTATCGGGTCACCAAATATGTAGGGACCAAGTGTAGGTCCTACACATTTATTTACACTATTTACACTTTGCAATATCTAACGGTATGAGCGATATGTTCGGAGGCGTTGCTTTGGTACCCCACCGAGATCGTCGTCCGTACTGCACGCTCTGTCCAATGTCGTGCGCTCCCCGACCTTGCGCTCCTCTTCTTCTCTTCTTGGCGCTCGGCGCCCTACAACACTTTTGGCACCGTTTCATTGGCTCACTCGGATCGTGGCGTCGGCTGTGGCCCCGGTGATAGCAGACCTCCGAGAACGGCGCGATCTCTGAGGACGCACTTTTGGCACCGTTTCATTGGCTCACTCGGATCGTGGCGTCGGCTGTGGCTTCGGTGATAGCAGACCTCCGAAGACAGCGCGCTCTCTGAGAACGCACTTTTGGCACCGTTTCATTGGCTCACTCGTATCCTGGCGTCGGCTGTGGCCCCGGTGATAGCAGACCTCCGAAAACGGCGCGCTCTCTGAGGACGCACTTTTGGCACCGTTTCATCGGCTCACTCGGATCGTGGCGTCGGCTCTGGCCCCGGTGATAGCAGACCTCCGAAAACGGCGCGCTCTCTGAGGACGCACTTTTGGCACCGTTTCATTGGCTCACTCGGATCGTGGCGTCGGCTGTGGCCCCGGTGATAGCAGACCTCCGAAGACAGCGCGCTCCCTGAGGACGCACTTTTGGCACCGTTTCATTGGCTCACTCGGATCGTGGCGTCGGCTGTGGCCCCGGTGATAGCAGACCTCCGAAGACAGCGCGCTCTCTGAGGACGCACTTTTGGCACCGTTTCATTGGCTCACTCGGATCGTGGCGTCGGCTGTGGCCCCAGTGATAGCAGGCCTCCGAAGACAGCGCGCTCT